CCTCCTTTAGAAGTCGTTACAGTCTCTTAAAAAATCTGTATCACTCTTGCCCAATCTTAAGATGATTAGCTTAACTGTGAAGGCATCTGATGTGTGCAATGGTGTAAATCACAATAGCTCTTCCATATCTAATACAAGTCCTAATAGCTTGTAACGCAAATTTTTCTTGGGGCCCTCCCGGTAGTATTAAGAATAACCCTCTCACAATATGTTACCGGTCAATAAATTAGATTGTAAACCATTATAGTATACACATTATATCTCATTACAAACGGCAAGCAGCTCCACGTCTTTTCAAAAATGACTATACACATTTTGAGTATAATAGGGCCTTTTGCGATAATAGCGTCCTAATGCTTCTATCAACTATTTTTTATCAAACAAAAATTCCTAAACTCAGCCAACTCAGTTCTCATTTGTCATTTCTGTCTGTTATTTTATTTGATTTTATCCTACTTGCCGTATATTCAAAACATACAATCTTATTTTTTTTTATGCAGCATATTTCATAACATACGAAAATTCATCAAGATATAGGACTATAAACATTTATTTGGAAAAGTTAAGCTAAAAATAGAATGACATTGATTTTATTTTTTTTATTTTCTTCATTGTCAAGCCTTTTTAAAACCATAACAACTGTTTATATAAGAGTTCATATCTTTAAAATAATTAAAAATATTATATAGGTCTTCAATTTATTGTATAATTGGATTTTAATACTTATGAGATATTATGTGAACATATTGATAAATGAAGGTTCCTACGTCACCATACTGTTTCATATCAGTATTTTCTTATACATACATAAAATATGTATTTATGTAAATACAGTATAACCCGCATAAAAGGAACTTCTCTTTGCTATTCATTTTGTTTCTTATACTTGCGGAGGTTTTCTTTAAAACGTTTCCTCTTATAGGAAACTCGATTTCTAAAATGCCAACAAAAATAAGTACACGCCATTTTTTGTTCTTAATTCAATGCAAACTTAATGTCAAAAAGTTTTTGAATTGACATTCAAAAATATACTATAAATTTAAAGTGATTGTGAATTTTATTTCATTTTGTTTTAAATCGGTTTTTGTCCAAGCTTATATAAGGGTGAATTTCTATGCTAAGTTAACATTTTTGTGATTCACAATTGCCGCTTTTATGAATTTTTTTTCTTGTAAGAGTGTTTCTTTTAAAAGAGTGAAGAAAATATTGAAATTTATGTAAAATAACTAGAAGATGAAAAAGTGTTTACTTAAACCGGGGGTGAGTTTTATGAAAGTTCCTCATAAGCTGGCTATACTGTAAATAAACGTAGGTATATGTTTAATTTCATTAAGCGTAACCATTCATTTAATTTTTTTAATTTTCTATAACATTAAATGATTTTACAAAAATACACATACATATTTTTTATGTATGTACGAATGAATGCGCTATTATATGTGCAATAAAATGAAAGAAAACAAATTATTTTTATTTATTGTATTCCGTTATATTTTCATATCAATAAAATAAAAGAAACCACTTCCTAAATTGAACTCATATATCCTTGCCCAATGTCATTTTCATTATTGTACATATACATAACAAATAAACATTTGTATATAAAATAAAGAGTGAAAAAAAAACGAATTAAGATACGCTTACTCTACAAAAAATTAATTAAAATGTCATTTTGAATTCAAAAAACAAAAACAAAAAAAAAAGGCAGAGAAAAAAAAATCTTGTATAGTTGAAATGGAAACCATGAATTGCTCCTTTCGAATTGATTTTTTGATTTTTTTTTTATATTTACACAGATATTTCGAGCCCATTTTCATATTTTAAATTCGAACTGATTCAATAGTTCGTAAATTAGCACATTTCCAAATAAATAATACTTTTGAAAAACGTTACTTTATATATTCTAGTTGCATACCTTTAGGATGCGATCAAAATTAAAAGAATCTTATTACAAATTGATGATGGAAGCATAAATGATTTCTTAAAACATAGTACTTGCTGTTACTTTGCTGCTTTTACACCAATTTGAGAAAGGTAATAATTTCGAAGAAATGAGTTACCGAAAACTGTCGAATTTTTGTTGATTTTTGAGAAGGGTCTGAAGTTTAACAAAAAAATTTTTTTTAATGAAATTAATTATTATCTTATTATAAATACAGTTATCTTCAAGCTGCCAAATTAATTATTTATCTTTAGTTATCTTCAAGCTGCCGAAAAGTTTAGGGTTTTTAGAAGAAACGCTATTAAAAGCTTAAAGGACAGATAACGGTTTAAGATAAGGCCTTCATTTTCCTGAGAATTTTATTCTTTCAACAGGAGAAAAAATATGTCATTATTTTTCTTTTTGCATTTACCAAATTTCAAAACGTTTCAAATTTCGGAAGGTTCGTTTCAAATTTCACGACCAGTTCTGGTCGTGATCAATCAGTATTTCGGCCTATTGCAGTCTAAGACGGCCAAATCAAAATTTCAATCTAGAGCTCGCAACCACTTTTTAAGCTTCTGTCTGACTCTTTTCAGTGCAATTCCGCAAAAAATTTACTTCTGTACCAAAAACTTGGGTATCCAAGGAATAGAATACCCAAGTTTTAAAGGAATAGGTTTCTGGGCAAGATGTAAATTAATGAGCACATTTTATTTTAAAATTTTTATTGAATGTGTGCTAAAAATGTTGTTATTTTTTGTTTTGTGTTTCTATTTTTATCGAGAATGTCTGATTTAATTATTTCCGCTCGGTATAATAAAAACCATAAGTCCCCATTTTTATATTATTATTATTATTTTTTTTTTTTTTTGTAAACAATTTTAATTTTTTTTTTCGAGATTGAAAATGAAACAAAGAAACAAAAAAAAAATAAAATTCCTGAATACAAAAGACTTGTTAAGTGAAAGAAGAACGTTTTTTTTTTTTATTTGGTTTCTTTTTGTTGATCATCGCAGGCAGGAATTCGTAACATAGAATTCAAGTCCATATCATATTTTTTTTTCAAGAAGATTTTACAAGAAGGGGAATAGAAAAATAAGAATTTAATTACTAGAAAGCTTAAAAAAAGTGCTGTTGTTTTTTTCCTTCTTATTTTGTTTATTTTTTTTTTTTTGGTGTAAGAGGAAATTTAGTGCACCTGCGTTTAATAATCACTGTTTTTCTCTCTTTTTTTGTTTTTTTACTTTTTTTTTAAATTCTAGACAATAGAAAACTCATCATTTTTAGTTTGAATGTAAAAATATTAATGATTGAAATGGGAAGATATGAGAAAAACAAAAATTTTCATTCAAAAAAAATTTTTACTTACGCTCGTATTCGAAAATCTTATTTATTTTATAGAATAACATTTAAATTTAAGTAGAGCGTATCAAATGTAGCAAACAAGTAATTTGTTGAAGCTGTTGTATGCTCTGTTTTGTTATTGAAAATTTTGATAAGACACGTTCGGACAACGAAATTGAATAGAAACGTGATTATTTTACACCAATTGAACATTAAATAAAAATCAATATCCGTGATTTTTTTCTCTTTGTTGAAATAAACGTAAATCAAGGACTTTTATGATTTGGCTGTAATAACAATTAAAAGAAAACAATTATTGGCGGTTCATTTTACATATGGCAAGTCAATACACACTTTTTAATGATGATAATAATGTATGTATACATTGTATATACCGATTTAAATTCAGTACATGTGTTGAAAGTACAGAATCCTTAATTTGAACTATAGTGGTGTCATTGGTTTTGTGAAACTGACAAAAAAAAAATTAAAAATTGAAATTACATGCGATTCAGATAAAAAAATTTTGTAATGCGAAATGATATGGCAAATATTTATGATCCTTATTTTGTACTTGTAGATTATTTATTGCCTTTATTGCACATGCTGCCCTCTTCAAAGTTTTCCAATTGTTTTTACATGAAAACTATATGATAATATTTTTCTAACTTAGTTTATTGTGACATTTCACTGGTCTAATATATTCAACTGTTCTGAACAAAAACCGACATTTTATAATGTGACAACGTTCCGAACTTAAACAGTTTTTTGGAATAAACGTTACGAAACTTGACCTCCTAATAACTGAAAATATTGCCATTTTAGGTATTTTTTTTACCTAACATGTTTTTGCAATGATTTCGTTTCTATATGATTAAAAAAATATTTACCGTTATATTAAGAAAAAAAACTTTATGTGATTAGCACATAACCGGCCGCGTCTATTGTCTAGTTTTACAGAAGACTATGCAAATGCATTTTGAACACTTTCTTTCAATTTTAAAAAAATTAGCAAGTTTTTAGCTAACATACCTAGAAAAGTGTAAATTTGGCTCTTAGTAGAATTTCGATTTGTGCCACACTTTTTTAGTTTTGGTAACAACCACCACTCAAATATCAAATTCCAAGAACTTCCAATAATCCCTTTCGTTGAAATGCTAAAAAATGTAAAATCGACCCCCAATTTGGTTTCCGAGCCATAATCTTTCAAAAAGATATATAGATTCATTATTTCAACAACCCGAATTAAAATATTAAAGTTCAGGGAAATTGGTTGATTATTTTTCTTTATATACGCAAAAATGTAAAAATGGTCCGCAAACAGATTCAGTTCCAGAGGTCTGATATATCCAAAAACTTGATCAATCCAAGCCATAGCTAAAATAAGCTCATATATAAAATTTCATCAAAATCGGTTGAGTCGAATTTGAGATACACATTTGCACACTCACCAACATCTCTCTAAAAGTAGTTTATTTAGGCTTCCCTAGGTGCGTTCGCATCGCATATTCCACATCCAAAATTTGGTGCCGTCACCTAACCTACCTTATTGTACACAATGTGGTCGGTAATTAAATCAAACTTTGTGGTATTGGAAAATATGAATTTTATTTGCATATTTTTAGGCTCTTCTCTTATTAGTCATAATTCTACTCCACATTTGTGAACTTTTATTTAATTTCTATAAATTTATCAATTTATTTATTTGATTTCATTTTTTTTTTTTTGCAGATGATGTCATTTAAATGGTTCATTATATGCCTTGTACTGCCAAGTATAACAATTGGAATGAATAAGAAATTTAAATGTCCTGAAGAATGTACATGCTCTTTAGATGATCGTGGACGTTTACAAACTTTATGTTTAAAGGGTATGTTTTTTAAATTTTTATTTATATTGTGATTTAATAGTTCTAAACCAGGCGACAGCCCGTACTAATATTGAAAACTCAAAAAGTTTTTCGATTTATATAGAATATTTTATGAAATATAACAATTTCATTTGTTTTTTGCAATTTAAATTAACAAAAATTAAATTAGGTCTTACTTAAAGAATACATCTTTGATTATAAGCCTTACGATATACTTGTTAACAACAATTTCAAGTTTTTAACACTCAAGATGAGAAATGTTTTAATTTCAAAGTGTTTTTGTATAAAAAATAAAATTTTTTTTTTAATCTAGGCAATTTTCTAAAGTAAACTTAAGCAAAAGAAAAATATGTGACAAGAGGAAGTTTGTTTTTCCTCTTGTCACATATTTCACTTGCAACATAAAAAGCACTTAAATAGCTAAGAGTTTTCTTAAATTTTAATCTTGTTTTTATGAATATTCTTCTCCGAAAAACAGAAATTATTTTCTACAACAATAAAATTTTATAATCAAAAATTCTAAAATTCATTTAAGGCAAACAACCTCTTTTAACAAAGCAACAACACCTTTTCAATTTTTATAAAGTCATTCTTAACAATTAAAATGTTCTAGGAAATACTTTGGTATACTTACGTGCATACATGTTACTTAATCTCGCATGTATAAATGCTTGTTCCAAAAGTATACAAATTTTTTTAAATGTCACAATATTTTAAGTGTATTTCTTTAAAAAAAAAAAGAAACTCCCAGAAATAAAAAAAATATTTAGAGTTATTTTAATTATTATTGTTGTTTCTTTTTACATAAATCTTGAAAAATTTTATAAGGTGACACACGCTTTTTAATGAAAATAAAAATGTTCATATTATAAGAGCGCTATGCCGCACACCCTACTTGTATAACAGTTGTGTTTTGTATGTAATTTTTTTTTTTTTCGTATATTTTTAAAAGAAGTTATTGCAATTATCCCATTCCCTCCTAAATATACTGAGTTGTGTTGTAAATGTATATCCTTTAAAAAAAACTTAAATATTTAATGTTATATAATATAACAGTTCTTTTATTTATATCATATAATATTTTTACTTGACTTTGGGCCGTATTTATGCTTCTTCAAGAAATAAAAGAATTTTTAATTTTATATTTTTTTTTTTTATTTTTCTTTTGAATATAAAAACCGTGATGTTTCAAAACTGTTATGTATGCAAAAATAATAATTCTTTTGACTTTTAAAAAGGAAAAACAGTAAGGGATACCAAATCTAAAGAAATGGTCGTGCCAATACTGAAGAATTACTCAAATTGTTGTGTAGAATTTCACGATATTGTTATGATTTCTATGTATCACAAATAGCGCTATTGCAAACAATAGCAGGTTTTGCATATGATAATTGAGCCTGCAACAATCTGTAAAAACTTAAAGGAATAACCTTCCCCTAGAGCTCAAAATATCCACAGTCAGTTGATTATAAGCATCATAGATAGATAGTCCCAAAATACCGGCTTTGGACAATGAGTATTGAAACGAATTTTATTTGTTGAAGAGCCCTTGCGGTGCAGCTATTATACATCATCCATTAAAGCTATAGTATTTATCTATACTTTTTTTTGCTTCTGCTGTATTCCCCTTAGGAGCATAGTGCTTCCACAAAGCTTTTCCAATGAATTCTGTTAGTGGCCTATCATTTTACTTCGGCCCATTCCATTTTGGCCATGGCCATTTTTTTATTGTTATTCGCCATGTATTCTTGGGTCATCCAACGCTTCTTCTCCCTTGCGCATTCCACTTCAATACCTGCCTTAAAATTGTTTCAGGTGGTCACCGCTATGTGTGGCTTATCCATCCCCACTTTTTATTTTTTTTTACTTTTACGGCACGCTCTTGATGTGTTAAAGCACAGATGTCCGTGTTAGTTATTCGTCTGGTTCAAAATAGTCGACAGATGATCCTAAGGTTTCTATATATAAATACCTGTATTTTTTTTGTGTATACACTTTTTGCTAACTACGTTTCAGAGTCGTACAACAGGACTGATTTCATGCATGTGTTGAAAATTCTTAATTTCATATTTTTTGGTAAATGTGAAGATTTCCAGATTACCCACAATCTGCCAAGAGCGGCTTTAGCCAGCTGCAATCTGTTTTCTATGTCTTTGTTCAACCCCTCTGGTTGTTGGTATTCTACCGCCTGATTTCATGCATGTGTTGAATATTCTTAATTTCATATTTCTTGATAAGTGTGAAGATTTCCAGTTGACCCATAATCTGCCAAGTGCAGCTTTAGCCAGCTGCAATCTGTTTTCTATGTCTTTGTTCAACCCCTCTGGTTGTTGGTATTCTACCGCCTGATTTCACGCATGTGTTGAATATTCTTAATTTCATATTTCTTGATAAGTGTGAAGATTTCCAGTTGACCCATAATCTGCCAAGTGCGGCTTTAGCCAGCTGCAATCTGTTTTCTATGTCTTTGTTCAACGCCTCCGGTTGTTGATATTTTACTGCCGACATAATTGAATTGTTCGACATCTTATATTGGGTTGGCATCTAGGTTTGCTGTGTTTATTCGGAGTGATTTGGTTTTTCTTGTGTTAATTTTCAGACCGATTTCTGCGTTATACGCAGTTCGTTCAGCTTTGCTTGCATATCTGAAGGTGTATGGGCTAGCAGAGAGATGTCATCTGTGTATTCCAAACAATCCAGGCGGTTTGCTTAATCTATTATCTATACTTACTTCCTTCTCAAAATTTTTTGTTCCACATTTTTTTTTTCTTATTCCTTGCATCTTGTCAAAATCTTTGTTTTTCTTTTTTCATTTAAACTTTGAAGAAAAATATTTCATTAAAATTGAATAAATATTATGTTATAAAATCATATTAAAAATTATTCAACATTAAGTTATGTAGAATGTAGATGATATGCACTCTTAAAGTTATGCACTCTAAGTTATGCAACATTTACAACAACGAAATATATATACGAATGGAAAATGTTATATGCAAGAAGCAAAGATATAAACATATTGTTGTTATTCTTATTTAAGTGTAAAATAAACACGCAGTGTAACCATAAAGCGACAAAAAAAAGCTAAAATAAATATTCATCTACTTTGTATATATATATAAAAAGAACAAAAAAAAAATTAAACACTAGAAATGCAATTAAAAATGAAAAATTGCACACAATGTTCTCAACAAATGCATAAAAAACAACAAAATATTCAAAGAAACTAGTAAAAAAATTTTTTTTCTCTTTTATATTTTTTCTCTTTTCCTACTACTTGAATTTATTCTTTATGTTGTTTAAGAGGATTTTCATTACGAGAGAATTTTAGTGTATACAAGCAGTTATCCAAGTTAACAGTATCGTATGTACATATGTTGTAAGCAATGCCAAAAATATATTCGCTATTGAAACGAGTGGACACAATCGGACATCGAATTCATTGTTCTAAAATAAACTTTTACATTCTGCGTCAAGAATTATTTGACAATATTAGAGGCCACAGCAGCGATCTGTAAGAAATACATATTCAATTTCATTTTTGAACCGTTAAATAAAGTGCCATCCAATATTTTTTTAATTTTAGAGCGGCTTTTCAACTAGAGTGTTAAAATTTTTTTTTTAATTTCAGAAAGAAATATAAGAGTCACATATACTAGTAATAGTCACAAGTACCGGTAACTTGAATATTCTATGAAAAATTGAATTCTTAAAATTAGGCTGTAATTTTTCATGGCAGAATATTGATAAGTTATTTTGCGTGGCGGGAGATGTAACATTCTAATAAAGAATAATCTTTTGCACAAATATAATCTTAAATTTTTTATAATAATTCAACACAATTCAATACAATTTATTCATGTTAGTGCAGAGAAGGGTTAACATATAAATTTTTAAATAAATCATAGTATGCGCTTTGTCGCCAATAAAATGAACAAAGCAATACTCATTTTTTGCTAATCAAAAATTTACATATAGTGTGGACTTTGCAACACACATGCTGTGTATTTCTTTATATGTATATGAATTTTTAATGTGTTCAGTAATGCAAATATTCAGTATATTTGAATGTTTAATTAAAGAGTTTTGTTAGAATATATTTTAAAAGAATAATGATGGTTGGACATATAGTATTTTTTAATTAAATATAAGAAAGAAAAAAATGAGAATTAAAAAGTTAGGGTGCATAGAAAGAGATTTTTAGTTTAAAGATTAACGTTTTGAAAAGTTAAAAAAATTTTAATTCCATTGGAAACCTAGATTTTGTTTTTTTTAAATAAGGTTATCGTCAGAACTGAATTCATATAAGAAATTCTTTGTCGCTTCAATTTTTGTTAAAGATTAAAGTGGATTGTATAGAACGCGGATCTACAGATGATTAATTCTCATGTTATTAGGTTAAAGCCAATGATAGAGTAAAAAACTTGTTTTGTTCAATCAACCACATTTTAATGATGCGCACATTTAAAATTCGTACCTAACAGTACGACCTTAAAAAACATAATTTAAACAACCCCTTATAAAATTTATATCGCTGTATTTTCTTAACTATTCAAGGTATATTAATGTTAATCAAAATTCAAATGAAAGGTTTGCCCTTCTATTGAACAGGAACGGTTCTTGAAGTATAACAAATTTTTTTAAAATTTCAAAATTTAGTTAAGTATTATCGTCTAATGTAGTATATAACATCCCAAATATATGCTAAAAAGCAATTTGACATTTCCTCACCGGGGTCTTGTCTGATCACTGAAGACTTAAGCAGATACTTCAGCAGGCTGAGACTGGAAAATGAAGATAGTTGCAGGTTCTGTTAAGAAGATAGAGAAATTTCGATACACCTTCCGATAGAGTTTGGACTTTATTCTAACGGCCTCAGAGTTGCGGTATTCCTCCTCCGAAAAATTGATTGAGTAAATCAGGGTAGTAAACTTCGAGCGAGTGGTATAGGGTGGTCTTTTACATGGTAGCGAACGTTGTTACCTCAGCTTTACAATCTACAATCTATTTTTTAAGACGAAAACTTTAAGATTAACTGGCTGACCCTATAATTTTTTTTTCTCATTTTCTCATTTAGATTAATTGGAAATTAATTTTTGTAATTTTATTAATTAGGTATTTGGGTTTTTTTAAGCTTTCTTTTTTAAATAATAAATACAATTTATTAAAATTGGATTATACTTTTGATTTAATTAATAATATTTTAATGGATTATATTTTAAATACTTTGTTTTAATTAAAATTACTAGATTAATGTAAACAAAAATAATATAAAAATAAATAAGAAGAGAAAATTTAATTTCCATGCTGCTTATATAAACAAAACTTAAAAATAATTATTTCCATTTAAATGTAAATTAGTTCAATTGTTAGTAACAACAATTTATTAGAAACAACAACAGGTATAACTGTTATATTAACATAAATTATATTGATATTTGGCTTATATGTTCTATTGAACGTAATTGCAACGAATAATGCTAAACTAAAACAGTATGAATTCCATTTCTTTTCAACGACATTCCAAAAGGTTGTATTTGACGAGCTGTATTTAATAGAATTCAAGGTAAAACTGCAGATCCAGGAACCTTCAGAAACTAATTTAGAGATTAATATCCTCAATATTTCATTAAAATATTGTGGACATTTTCAAGAGTTTTACATGCACATAGAATTTTTCATAAATATGTTCCATATCACGAATACTAGTTTTCTTAAAGCTTTCTTCTGAGATACAATTGAAACATATTCGTAGGTTTTACGGAAAACAATTTTAATGTTCGTATTTCTAAATGTTGCATTGCCGCTCATGTTTTAAAAATTCTTTTCCCCTCAGACTCAGATCAACAGATATTCACCGCTTTAAACTCTAGATAAGGCATCTCATACGTTGACGTTTAATGAATTTCCCAAGATTCTTCTTCAGACATTTTTTGTTTGCTGCAATGGAGAGTAAAAAGTATAAGAATTTGTTTTTATATTATTAAGAAAAATTTCGCTCTCTTACGTATCACTCTTCCGCTCCATACACCATTTTAAAAAATGGCTTATAAGAATAATGCTTTTTCTGAAATCAGCACATTTTCCTTAAATCTATTATCCTAATGGAATCTTCCTTTTTGTTTTTTTGTAAAATTTTAGATTTTGTTTTTTGTTACAACCTAGCCATTATTCTTTTTGAGGGTGTTTTTCTAAAAATTTATTTCTGTATGGCATACAATTTTGGCAAAAAAGAATAGAATTTATTTTTTCTGCTCTTGCGTTTCTTTACAATTTTAGCAAAAAAGAAATGTTATTAAAGATCCAAAATTTATGGTATCAATGCGATTTATTGTAAAATGGATATTTTGTTTTTTTTGTAATTTTACAATCTTAAAAAAATTCTAAATGATTATTTTTCTTTTCAACCCCTACAGGTGGAATGAAGAAAATACCAATATTAGAAATTGATAAAGATGTCAAAACTTTGATTATTAAGGGCCCAAAAAATACTATAACAATTGGTCCAATTTTCATGAATCATATAAATTTAGAAATAATTAAAATCGTAGATTCAAATATACCAGCAATAGGAATAAATACATTTTGGGGATTAAAAAATTTAAAAATATTAGGTGAGTATTAAAGTTCTATAAACAATGTACAAATGTATAATTTGCACTATATCACGTTTTAATTTGCGAAACCGAATGGTCAGTGTTTACACATCAAACATTTTTCATAGATCGAACATGTTTGATTTAAACATAATTTAATTATATGCAAAGTTTGATATGTAAATGTAAATGAACTTTGTGTTGTTTGATAGTAATAGAACAAAGTCTGTTAATAATGTTTGATGTCATTAAAACGCTCGTTTTCGTATTGCATTCGGCTTAGCAAATTATAGCGTGATATTTGAAGCACCAAAATAAATTTTTAATTTTCCAACATTTTTTCTTTTTAAATCACTGAAATATGTTTAAAAAATTTGTATGATAAAAATAGATAAAACTGAAAACACAAAAAGAATGAACTCGTTAAAGGTATTGAGTACCTCGTGTTTAAATAAAGTAGAATAAACAAAGTTCCTGTAGGAGATTATTTCTCAAAACGTCCCAAATCTTGTTTTCAGATATTTAAAATTCAAAATCTTATACTCATACAGGTTCAAATAAGTATGTTTGTGAGTGATTCGCAGTTGCTTGATCTTTTCCAGTATCAATATATCGCCTGCCCACATAATTCTGATGACACAAAAATCCAAACGAATTCGAAGCTATACTACATACATATATATTACTACGGTATTATTTCAAACAGAATTCATTCATTAAGAGAGTTCAAGAAAATTTATTCTGATTCTCTGCCTGTAGTAATTTCAATTTACATGACAAGACAATATTATTTATTTGAGAAATTCCTTTAAAATAATTGTAATATAATATAAAAGCTAAAATAATTAATAAAATTTTATAAATTTAAACTAATATCATTGCTCTCTTCATAATATTACAATATTAATTTATTCAACTTAATTAAATTACCTTAATCTAATTTTCAAAATGGTTTTTAACAGCTTGTCATTTCATGAATATAAAATTAATTAATTGAATATTTCTAACAAAAAATCTTGATTATAAACTCAAGAATTTCTTTTAAACTAATTTATTATGTAAATAAAACATTAAGAATAAATAAGGAAATTGTTGAATAAACTATTTTTAGGATATTTAGTTAAAAAACAGATGATATTGCAGGATAAAATAGAATTATTCTAAAATATTATATTTTATAAAAACTTTCAAAAATTTAATTCATTAGATCTAGATGTCAAACATGTTCGAAGATGTATGACATCATACAAAAATTTACATTTTAGTTTCAATCATAAAAACAAAATTCATGAGATATGTTTTTGATTAAGAACTACTCAAATTATTATTCTTTGTAAACTAACAGCTTGTTCGAACTTCGCTTCTAATGTATTTTATATTAGTTTGTTAAATTTTTTGAATACTTATGAATGAAAACTTTCATGATCAAATTTAATGAATTTGTTTGTTTCCTTGAATTTTAATCGAACATGCTTCAAACCTAATATAACATGTATGTAATCGAACATGTTCAATCGAATATACCAAATCGAACACATTTCATCATACAAACTATTTCTTTTTAGTATTATGAACGTAAACATAAAGTTTAATTAAAATTTTTTCAATTCCTTTCATGACTTTTATATAAAATATCAAAATATTATAATATATATTGGTATGAATGAAACTGTGCTTTATTAAATGTATATAAACATATCATCATGTGTTATAGGGAGTTTTTGTAGGAAATGAAATGTTATAACAGTAACTATGTATAATATATAAGAAAAAAAAAATGTATATAATGTAAGAGAAACTTTATGAATAATAACTATGAATGAATAAAATTAATAGTTCGTATATATGAGGGAACAAAAAATATTATGCTTAGCTCATTTTTTAAACATTTATTTTCTCTACATTGTATACTTTCTAGCTGATTAATGATTTTCTGACAAGGTACAAAATTTAAAATAAATTGTATATGTACGTTCATGCAAGTATGCAATATTATAAATCTAAAGATTTATTTTGAAAAATGTTTGCATGAAAATGTGAGGAAGAAAAGATAATGCTAAACTGTTAAAACTAAAATAAATATGCGCTCACAATTTCAATATTTTATGAAAATTTTTCCGGATTAGCAGTTTTAGAAGTTGGTTTTTTTTTTAACAAATATATTATAATAGAAGTATAATATTTGATTTTATTGTTATGAATTATTTAAACTGCAGTCACTTTTAAAATCAAACTTTGAATTTTTACTCATTTTACAAGGAGATTTATTTCAGAATATTTCTCAGAATTCCAAATAAAAATTTTTTATAGAAATATTTATAAATGTATTCCACTATTAATCGGAGTTAAATATTACACATACGGAAAAGTTTCCTAAAATTTATAATTTATTTTATAAATTTGTCGTAAGTTGACAATTAATATTGTCGTAAGTAATCAAGTACTTTAAAATAAATTTTAGAACAGAACCCGTTATCATTCTCAAATTTCTAAAATTGCTTAAATTAATATTATTTTATTGCATCAGACTGAAGAAGAACATACGTCCCACCTAATCGTCTTAAAAATTGTTGTCATAGCTTTATACGACATGATGTCGCAAACCCGATGTTTTAAAAAATTTTATATTCGGAGTAATTATAATTATTCTGAAATTATCAATAAAAAATTATTGATTTTTATTTATTTAAGCCACTTAATTGTGGTGAAATATTCAGTATTCGAAGAGAAATAATAAGATAAGTCTAGAGTGTATAATAATTCTATGTTACTGCGACACAATTGCCAATATCAACCCAACCGGTTTAAGAAATTTTTTACGAAATTGTCGTAAAGTTTTGATATTCATTTGAATTTGTAGATGGACGTACAGGATGACTTTAATAACAGCTATAATTCTGCTTGTCACTTCGAAGCAACAAAAAAATGTACAACCAGCGGTTTTAAATAAACTGTTACTCAGCTTTCAATTAATCATTTAATTAATGTCATTTTGCTTTGAAACAAAACAGATTTTTAGATTTTTTATCTCATCATTTAATTCAGTTTCTTCCATGAAACAAGATTAACATCCAAGAAATTATACACAATAATTAATATAAATATTATTCCCATTTTTATTTTTCTAACTTAGATTAATTCATAAATATATAGAAAAGAATATAAGCGATATGAACCATACCGAATTACCACTTGAGCTCTGATGATAACCATAAAGTAATCTTTACTTTTTTAACTCTTTTAACCTTAATTTTTCTATTGTTACCATAAGATCTAGAGTATTTTATGTCCAGTGTATTTTTTCTTAACGCGTATATGACCATTTAAAAATATACGATAATTTTTTAAATAAAGAAGCAAAAAAAAAAATAACTATTATTAAAATAACTTTGAATATTGCGGTACTTTCAGTAATGTTTGCATAACCAAAGTTTAAAAAAAAAAAAATTGTATTGTTAAGAATTTTTCTTTTAATAATGACACAAGCAGAAAAATGTTTGTATAGAAAAATGATCCTTTTGGCAAGAAATTTGTAAAATAAAAATAATAATTTTTTTTTTTTTTGTATCCCGATTTCAGACAAATAAAGCAAACGAAAACGATTCTTCTTTTGCTCTTCTATAATTTTTGTATTTTTATGTTTTCATCCCTTTTTTATCTTTATATGAAAAAATCACATCTCAATGAAATATGAAAAGAGAAAAAAATAAAAACAATACAAATAAATTCGAATAAAAGTTTTATAGTTGGCCAGGTCAACTTTACGAATATCCACAAGCATAGTGCTAAGCAGTACAATTCCAATGAAATCGAACAGATATTGCAATAGCGCTACCTTAAATTTTGTATGTAATACTATCCCGGACCTTTCAATAAAAGTGAAATTTACTTGAAATTTATTGTAGTTCACCGATTAATTCATTTAGTTCAACATGTTTAAGTCCCTTAAAATATTCAACCACAATTGACACCCTTTTCCTTAAATTTTTCCTTAATTCATTGCTTTCATGTTTTAGCTAAGAGAATTTTAAATAAAACGCACAGTTTTCGATACAACAAACCATGTAATTAGTATTCAAAAAGTGATTCAAAGAAATATTTTCAACTGTTTGTCTTAAATATGCTCTCAATGTATTATTGGTCTTCTCTACTATTGCAATGCATAAGTATAGTATTATAAATTAAATACAAAATTTTTAGTTATACTCTTAAAATATTATGCTTGCCCGCACGTCTATAATCACGGTTATAATTTTTGGGTTCAACTAACAGAAAGTAATTTTTTGTAATAATACAAAAAACAAAAATCTTAAAAAATGAAATCACTATTTTCCCTGAAAACCATAAGAAAACTAGTTAGCAATAAATTCAAATGTATCGTAATAAGAACATTTTGCTAATTTTTTCTGGTTTCTATTTTCTACCCGATTAAATGTTGGAAATGACCATCTAACCGACTAAATGTTTGATATAATTGATTATCATTGAATAACTACTACAAATATAACAAAAACTGTCAATTATCTTAACATCACTAACGAAAATTTAATAGGATTGGCATTAAGTGTAACAAAATTGCAAGAGAATGGAATTTGTGACAGAATATTTTGCGTTGTTAAGTAAGAGAGAATTTAGAAATATCAATAGGGATTCAAAAAATATGAGAGAAAATATTTCTCTCATATGATACCGACCATCGAACATTTTTCACAGATCGAACATGTTTGATTCGAACATAATTTAATGATATGCAAAGTTTGATACGTAAATGTCTGTGAACTTTATGTTGTTTGTTATTAATAGAAAAAAATTATATAAATAATGTTTGATGTCTCGTTTAATAAAGCTCGTTTTCGATTCGTATTGCATTCGGCTTAATAAAATATTTTAGCTTTCCAACATTTTTCTTTTTTAAATGAATGAAATATGCTTAAAATATTTGTACGATACAAAAATTCAACCATCTAGAATTAATATAAAAGTTACATTGATAAAAATGATAATGTTGATGATGATGTTGATGATGTTGATGATGATGATGATGAAGATGATGTTGATCGTTATAATAATGATAATGATAAAATTTTACGGTAGAAACATCGTAACGATTTCATCCTTTTTACTTTTTCTTTTTTACTCTTTGTTTATCTTTGCAATCCTTTTTTTTTTCGTTTCATTTGTGGGTGGAAAATATCTTAATCTTTTTTTTTATTTTTATTATTTTTTTTTGTTGTTGTTTCTTTTTACCATATACTTCCTTTTTATTGCAGATCTTTCCAGGAATAATATTACACAAATTTCTGACAACAATTTTCGTGGTCAGGATAATCTACTCGAACTGGATTTGTCAAAGAATAAAATTTATCAAATTACACAAAGTCAAATATTTTATCATTTAAAAGTAAGTATGATTATAATAAACGTTATTTTAGTATGTCATTTTATTTGGAAGAAAAAAAAAAAACATTGTATGCATATTATTATGACGTAACGTTATGTAAATCGGGAAAATGTTGATTTATAAAAGAGAGAAAAAAATTTTTTTTTGTTGGTTTCTCTTTGTGGAAGTGATAATACCAGAAAATTATTTGAAGATTATTACCACATTAGAATAATAACAATAGTAAATAATAAGCATAGCAATAATAGAAAAGAAATCGCGAAACATTGTTCTAAGCACTGTGGGTTGCCAACGATATCTGTATCTATAGCTTAAACAAATCTGCATGATTATTGTACCACCAAATATTTTCACTTCAACTGTTTGAACAATTCCTTCCCCCCTCTGCACACAGCAGTGATTACATTCTCTAAATTAGTAATCGTAATACGTAACTGTAAAAAATCTAAGCCTCTTGTTTAAAAGAAGCCAAAGATGTGAATTTTTCGACTTTCTCGATAGGGAAATGTGTAGGACACGTTCTGAGTGTATATGTACTCACTTTCTTAATATGTTCGTCAAAACCCTTATTTCAACAGCCTTGCCATTATAGGCTAGATACGCTTGGGTGACGAAAAGTTTTTTTTTCTAAAATCGGTAACACTTGCTACGATTTTACGATATTATACATTGAAATATCGAAAGAAAGTGCGATTATCCAATACAATTTTTTTTTTTGTTTTACACAAATTTATTGATTTGTACAACGGGGGCAACAGCGCACCGCGACCACGTATAAGGGTCTATTATGCGTCCTCTCCCCCTCCGAGTTTGAGACTTGTGAGGACCGGAAGACCGTAACTTCGCCCCCGTAATTTATTTGCCATAGTTAAAATCTTTTCTATATTGAAATTTTTATTTTGATTATTCCAAAATTATAAAATTTAAATTACAATAATGATACAGTAAAAATATTTTACGTATGCAAAATTTCAAAGGACTTTCAACTCATATTATTCTAATGCAAATATAGAATTGCAATGCAAATTTAGGTTCAAGGATGACAATTCTCTTTAAATTTCTTAAATTAAATAAAATTCATATAATGAAAATATTCAGTTTCAGTGAACTTTAAAAAAAAAAAATTTCTTTTTTTATAGCACAATTTCCTTTTAAATGTTTTTGAACCATAAACATTAAAATCTTGTTATAAATCAAGTTGAATCAAATCAATGGTTTGTGTAATAGCACTTTTTTCTTTAACAATTGAAAATACTGCTTTTAAAAACAATTTATGTGCTCTAATATTATTGAAATTATTAAAATTTTTTTCATTGATATACGAAAATATTTCAAAGATTGCATACATTTAGGATGAGGCAAAAAGTTAAGGGACGTGTTGACATAATGCTTTAATTCAAAAGTTAAACTGCGTCAGTTGAGAAAAATAATTATATTTTTTAATGGCATGAAATTTACAGTTAATTTTCTGCTTTTATAGATTGTTGGAATAGCTTTCAGTTTCAGAATTATAAGATTCCAAAATTTAAAATTTTACAAATTTCAAAAGGCGATAACATGAGTAAAAAAATTTTTTTTCCAATAAAGTAAACTATTTATTAACCGCCATATAACAATGAGCCTACTTTGCCTAAATGTATCCTTGAACAGCCGCGTCAACCCAAATCTTAAACCTAAAATTATTTATTAATATCTAAAAGCTGCTAAAATTTCTGACTCTTACAACTTATTATTAAGAAGTAAAACAATATCAGAAATTTATAAAAAAAATAGGTTTTCGATATAAGTTAATTTAGGCAGCATTTTCGTGTTGTTAACAATGAATTACAGTATGTCGCCGCAGAAGAAGCGAGACACTACAGGGGAAGAGGGGGGGGGGGGCGGGGGGGAGGGATGGGTAAAATGTTTCTTCAACGGATATAAGTTATTAGGAAACATCTATTTACGTGTAAAATTTCAGCTGCTTATTTTAAGGGCAGATTTGTAAACAAATTCACGAACAAATGGACAGGCATACGGGCGGACAGTGGTTTCAGTCCGTGAAGCATTTCTGTGTATTCATAAACATATTCAATTTCAGTGAACTTTAAGAAATATTTAGATTTTTTTTAGAACGATTTCCTCTGAATTTTTTTTTTGAAACCAGAAACATTAAAGTCCTATATTATAAAAAACATTAAATTTTTTTTTTTTTGCCCAAAATTTTAAAAATTAAATTTGAAAATTATTTTTTAATTATTTTCAATTTTCATTTTTAAGTATCTACATGCAAGCCAAGACTAAATCTCTTTGATAAATTTTTTTCTTTTTTTATTTTATTTAAATTAAATCTTAATTTCATTTTCTAAATTAATTCTTTAATTATTTATTTCAATATTTTTGTTAAGAGAACAAATAAATTTAAAAAAAAGAAATAAAGAGAAATATTTTTTCCATAAAATATTAAAGTCCCTAAGAGAATAAATAAAAAAATTTATTTCTATATTTTTAAAAATATGCAATTTTTATACCTACATATATACATTAATATAGACCATTGTGTCTTACGTACATACATACATTTTATTGAAAATCTTTTGTATACACAAACACATTTAATGAGAAATAATTCTACTCTAAGGACATTTTTGTTTTTGTTTTAGTATAAACAAAATAAATAAATAAAAATAATTACAAGTTAACTCTAAAAATACAAGACTACCGTATCCTTTTAGACATTTCCATAGCACACCTATATATATATATATATATTTATATTCTCTTATATTATAATATGAAAAGAGAAGACCTTGAAAGTTCTTTAACATTTTTTTTGTTTGTTCCTTTGTTTTGTTTTTGGAAAATATTGTAATACAATATAAAATTTTTTATCTTTAAATTATTTATGTATGCTCTTGCTTCTTTAATAAAAGTTTCCATTCTTTTAAAATCTATATTCTCCTTTTAATATCTTTATTAAAAAAATATAAAATATATATTTATATTTAGGAACGTTTGGTTTCTTAAATAGCACATTTCCTATTTAACAATCAAATAATGTTATAGACTATTAAATTAATGGAAATTTCTTCATACAACTGCAGAACAAATGGAAGACATAATCAAAGGAACGAGTTAAAAGCAGAAAAATTTAAAAAAAAAAATTCTCCTCGAACTTGAACTCGAATCATTGACCTACCGTTTTCTAGGCGGACGCTTAGATATTACTTATTAATTAAAACAACTATACGTTGTATGAGCAAATCAGTGTTATAGACCTTAAGTGTAAATCTGTAAATTATAAAAAGAAGGTCTTATTTAAAAAAAATTATTATTTAATTATTACTATACAGGGTGTTTCGCATAAGGTTTCAAATAGTTTCGGGGATGACTCTTTTATCAATTTCTAGCAAAAACTTTTTAAGGAAGTAGGAGGCGGGATGCAGATATACTCGTTACAGCCTGTTGAAAAGAGGTACCTTATTTTTAATGCATATAAGTAAATGCTTATAGTTCGCAACCACGCGACGTAGAGTAACTATCGATAGCTTGTTTTACAGATAATTGATTGTTCTTCATTTTCGATCTTCTAATTATTTGATTCGACTCATACTTTTTTTGAAATATAGCTCATCAAAGTCAGAATTTTCATTTTTTTTTTAATATTTTTTGAAAAACTCGAAATTTTTCAAAAATATTTTTTTTTCTGTATCTCTCATAGTTTTGTCAGTGAAATTGTTTAATGAAACGTGTTAAATATATTTATAAAACATGCGAAAAATGCAAATTTTTCAAATAACTGTTATAGTCTGAATTACTTTAAACACAAAAAGCGAGGGGTCGGGGACGGAAGGGGAGGATTAAATTAAAAAATTTTTGCATTCCTTCCATTTTAAAATCTTGTTAGTATTTTGTAAATGGATGGACAGACAAAGTTAAACCAAAAAGAATTATTTTGTAAAATCTATGAAAATATAGAAACAAAAAAATTTTCGAAACACAATATTGTTATCACATTTATATATTGTGAATTTTTCAAAACAACATGCACTCATACATGCAAACATAAATTTTATAAAGGAGAAAATAACTCTTTTGATTTTAATTTATGTGGGTCGCAGTATTTTATTATTATTATTATTATTATTATTTTAATAAAATTATAAATATATATATAAAATATACCAAACACGTACTTACATATTGTTTTTTTTTTTTGGTATAGAAATTACTAAAACCAAATTGTAAACTATAAATAAAAATTTGACAAAAATAAAAAATTTTTTTGTATATGCAATCTGAAAATATGTTGTAATAATTTTTGAATATTTTTCATTCATTAATTTGAATTTTATTAAAAATTCTGTTATATTATAAGTGATTTTTTGAAAATTGTTATATATGATATTAAAATATATGTATATATAAATGTAACGGAAATTCTTATGTATATACTAGAGAAAAGGATGTCCGGCAATGTCTGCATAATTTTGTGAAAAACATAATAATAAATTTCATAAAGCTACAAATATAATTTTACGCTATTAAGATTCTAGGTTAGTTGTTTTGGTTTATTATTTTTCATATACATTATATACACACTTGTATATATATATGTATATAGCATTTGCATACTAGATTATGCTAAATATGAAGTGCATAATTTTTTAATTTTATTTGACAAGCATAATAAATAATTTTATGAAAATATATTAATATTTTTACTTTCTTCCTTCTCTTTTAATTGTGTATTTCGAATATTGTCCGTGAAAAATTAATTTATGTAACAACCAAAATTTCTAAAATTGATAAACAGACCATAATTCTGTTATAATAATTATTCTGTAATAATAATCAAAAATTACAAAAATATTGCATACTTTTAGGGGCCAAATAATAAATTTTCTCTTAAATTTTTAGAAATAAATTTTGTGACCGTATAAAATTTAATAATCTTTAAAATTCAGCAATTTATAATAATTTTAATCAAGCCTAAACAGAGTTAAATAGAACTCTTAGCA